ATACATTTTCTGGAAATCAAATTAGACCGGATATAACGAGTTTGATAGTTCAAAGATCCCAACAGAAGTACACACAGACGCTTGCCATGATTCAGTTATACTATCATCACCAAATCAGACTAAATTGTTATATATATGGAGATACATCTGATTTAAACAGCATACTATTTAACAGTCCATATCAATTAGAGTACATTCCAATTCATATGGAATAAATGTAGTTGGAATGAGCTTAAACAAATATGGGTTAACTATCATTCAAGCTATTTGCTATATTTTGAACACGAGTATTGTGAAGCAAACTACATTCATTTCTTCATTTTTACTTCAGCTTCAAGCTTTCAACAAACATAGTTTCAGAAATGTGTACCTGGAAATGCTTACAATTGAAGAAGAAGAAAGGTCAGTAGAGCGAGCAGTAATTCGAAGCAGCAACAGCAAACCCCACAGCAACAACCAACCGATACAAGAATGATTCAAACCCAACCAAAACTCCAAGATTTCGACAAAGAACAAACAGCAATAGCAAATGAACCAAATAGCTCGGGTAACAGCACAAGAACTCGAAAATCACCCAAGTGCCTTCAAAATTGAACTTAAATGCTTTGGAAAATTTACTAAAGTAAACTTAAACGGAAAATCAACTCAAACAGAACCCAACTCTATTCTTTTTTTTTTTGTTTTCTAATGTTTTTGTTTTGGATTTTGAATATCAAACTTCAATCTGGAAATCAGAAAGAAAGAGCTGTTTAGAGGAAGTTTTGATGGCTGAAATTTCTTGTTCTTTTTTTTCAGGGGTCTCCTCCTAAAAATCTGATCAAGTCTTCTCATTTTATTTCTCATCCCAAACCTTTTAGTCAATTAATAAAACAACCACTTTCTCCTACCAAACCCACTACTAGTTAAAACATACAATTATTATTTATTTAAACAAACTTTTCTTGAGCCCCGCAATCCCACTATGTCTTGTTCCTCACTTTTGATTAAACAAGTACATTATTTCCCACCATTATGTCTTGTCTCCCATGCCTACATTATTTTAATATTATTAACAAATTATTTAATTCTAATGGACAGAACACTCAAAATAAACATTTGTTCAGAATTTTAATTCCAAAAATACCCATCCGACCTTACTGAAATTACCATATTACCCCTGAACGTACTGCAAATTACCAAACTACCCCCATCAGCTATAACCAATTTACCTAATCAATTTCAAACAAAATACAGCAAATATGACCAATTTCTAAACAATTTTCAACAACAAATTCAAACTAAATTATGAACAACAAAGAACAACTAAAATTATTTTGATTGAACAATATTTTTTAACAACAAACAAACCTACTTTCAGATTCAAAAAACAACAACAACAAACAAGTATATTCAGATTTCTAAATTCAATAATCATTTGAACTTAAAATTAAATCTAACAACATTACAACCAACAATTTCTATATTAAAATTAAACAAGATCATGAGACAAACTCAAGAAATAATCATAAATGATAAACAATAAACAAGAAAATCAAACTTATACTAATTTCGGATTCAAGAACAATCAAACAAAGTATGGACATAAATGAAAAGATTCAACAACAATAACAAGCAAGTTTTATTCAAATTCGAATTAAACTTGAATTAAGCTTAAACAAAACAAATAAACATATTCAAATCACTAAACTTCAAATAATCAATAGATTTTTAAAATTAAATCCAACAAAATACAACAAAGATACATGATTCAAACTAAATAAAACAAAAATTAAAAACCAAAACATAAACTCACATTAAATCACTGAATTGAAAACGAACTTCAAACAAAATGAACATGAATTAAACAACAAACATGACGTATCCAAATGATTAAACCAACACTCTTCTATATTAAACTTGNATGGGAAGCCATGGGAGGGGAGCTTGGGGAAGCTTTTGGAGAGGAAGAAGAAAGAGAGGGGGGGAGGGGTAGTTTTAGGGTTCTTATGTTTGGGTTTCAACAAAAAAATGAAAAATGGGAGGGGGTTGGGCGGATAGTTTAGTTATGGGGCGGACCGGGTCAACTCGTGTTGAAATGGACCGGGTCATGGGGAAGATTGGGTATTTTTTGGGCCTGTGGTTTGAAATTTGGAGAAGAGGCCCAATTCCGATTTTCTTCATTTTTTGCTCTCTTTTCTTCTTTTATTTTTCTAAAACTAAATTCTAAAAATCCTTAAACTATCATATAGAACTAAATTAATTTATAAAAGCGCAAATTAACTCCCAATAACAATTAACACACAATTAAGTAATAATTAAGCATAAAATTGTATAATTGGACATTAAATGCTAAAAATGTGAAAGATGCCTATTTTTGTAATTTTCATTTTTGTAAAACAAACTTAATTACTAACAATTGTAGGATTAAATCCTAAATGCAAATGCGACATATTTTTTGTATTTTTTATTAATTTAACAAATAAACATGCGCAGACAAAATGCAAATAATTATCCAAAAATACCACAAAAATTCAAAAATTGCACACCAAGGAAAATTGTTTTATTTTGAATTTTTTGGGAGTAATTCTTTCATAGGGCAAAAATCACGTGCTTACACAACAATTGGTGCCTCTATAGGAGCCGTGCGTGAAGCGAAAGGGACGAACTGGTAGCGGTTCGTGGGCTTCTCGATAGTCGCGTCTGACGGCGACCCTTGAGCGGTTTTTTGGGCATGGCATTTAATGCTCTGATAGGCTGACGTCACAACGATGACGCCCTCGGGTTAAAAGCTCATAATCGTTTCTCATCGCTCATCTCTAAGAAATGCGAGGACTATCTGGATACGTTGAAATCGGAGGGTCCAATTTCTCGTCATCGAGGCACCTCAGAAGACCATCTCGAAGTCTCGATTCTACAAGGTCATGATCGAGTTTCCTCCCTCGAGGTTCGTCGGGGCCCGATCTTAGGACAGCGTTGACCGCGACCATGATAGAAATGGGGAGTTCCCAAGGCACGTGGCTAGGACTGACATGGCCTAGTGGATCGCCCTAACCCTTGATCAAGATGTCATCTAGCTGTCCCATCCCCATTTCTTTATCATTAATGTATTTTGTACTATGTTGGGATTCCTCTCCTATATAAAGGGGATCCTTGTCATCTTGTAGAGGCCTGTTGTTTCAGTTGCTCCACACGAAACATACAAGAGCATTCTATTTGTCCTCTAACATATTCTCTTGATATTATTGCTTTCATTTATTATCTTCATATTTGTTCATCATTTATTGTTTATTATTGGCCATAAAGAGCCTCCGTTAATTTTATTATAACTGTTAGCCATATTCCGAACCCCCTCGATAGCTCCCAGCCGCGCTCCAGAATCGACCTCGAGGCCCCGAATCGACAAGCTCGAGGCTCCGATAATTGGCCTAACGGTTTGATTATTGCCCTATCCTTAACTTTTATTTCGTTTCTAAGTCTCACATACATGACATCAACTGCTTAACAACCAGCATAAAAATAGATCACGTATTTTTAGAGTCCTATAATCAAATTTAATTGTTATTATCATTTTTACAATAAACAAGTATCTCCTAGAGCTTCTACCTTTTGTTGTGTATTCGCAAATAAATAGAAAGTTTCTAAATATATAGAAGATTCACGATGATTATAAAAGAAAAAATCCTTCACTTTCTTTTATCTCCTTTGACCAAAAAGAAATCACTAGTAGTGCTAGGGAATGTACTAACTTTTTGAAGATTTTATTTTCGCTAGTTTATCTCCAAATGGAATTTTATTTCTATGTAGTAAAAAGGAAAATATTAGTATAAGATGCCAAATAAAGTGACATTTTCTTAAAGTGCACTGCGACTGTTTCACTCACTTTTCTTGTGGTGCACTGCTACTACATAATTTTTTTTTATTCATAATTATAATGTAAATATTGTGGACACAATAAATAAATGAGCAAAATAAAAATAAAAATAAAAACTTAAAATCAGTAGCGTGGGATTAACGCAGAGAAAGGCAAAGAAAGATTCTACATGGACCCCATGTTGTTGTGGCATTACTTTCCAATCTGTTACTCAATTGACAAAAAAAAAAAAAAAAATAGAGAAACAACAAAAAAAAAAACAAAAATAATCATCTAATTAATCTCATAGCTTTGCTATGCTTTTCGAGCGAAGCCGTGTTCTACAATAATATAATACTCTGTACAAATAACAATAACAAATTTAGTGAAATCTCTCAAGTGAGGTCGTAGTAGTGTGCACACAGATCTTACTCATAGTTTATGCAGATAGAAAGTCTGTTTTTGATATACACCCAGCTCAAACCAGTATAATCGCAACTATAAATAAATAATATATAATAATAATAATAAAAAAGTCATGAAAAAAACAGTGATAACATAGAGATATTAACAAAACCAAACTAATCAACATCAAATAGTGATAGACAACTAAGAATAGGGCAATAAGAGTAATATTAAAACTACCGGGCGAGGAAGTATGTTTTACTATCTACTAACATTCTACCTTAATTCTCGACCTACACAACTTTCTATCAAGAGTTATATCCTCAATAAGTTAAAGACGCACCAAGTCCTACCTAATCGTCTCTCTCCAATATTTTTTCAGCCTCCCTCTGTCTCTTCAATAAATGTACTAAAGATTTTACAATGACAATGTTTTGAATAAAAGTATCATTTTAATCTAATTATTATAGGTTATTATACTTTATAACTTTTCAATCTTGACAAATTAGGTAGACGAAAACACTTTAAAGAAACGTGTATTTACCTTCAGTTACTTAATCTGGAACACAAAATTCAAATCAATAAACAAAATTAACCAATATAGTTAAGTATTTTTTTTAATAACACAGAATGCCTACTAAACGGTGTCGTTAGGTCTTCAGCTAAGCTTAAGCCGACAGACTTAAGAATACGCGGCGCCAAGTCATTACAAATTTATTCCCCTGCACTCACACAACTATGAGTGTACGACAACCACACAATAAAAATTCCCTTCCATTGAAGCCACCTTATTAAGAACAAGAGGCGCTCCTCTAGCTTTACATTCACAGAACACCGCGTTCTTGAGCCTTGAGCTTTAGCCCTTCAATCTCTTCCAATTTCCCCCAATTTTCAACTTCCAATACAATCAAAATGGTGAGTCAAATTTCATCCCCCTTTTTGCTTTTCTTGCAGATTTTAATTTCACTGTTAATTTTCTTCTTTCGTGTGTGTGTGTGTGTGTTTGAGTAGAAATTTTTCGTTAATGGGTTTAGTTTTTGATTTGTGATTAAGCTGATAAGATAAGCTATCTGGGTTTTGGCTAAAAAGGTGATCTTTATGGAGTTCCTGTGCTTTCTTGGTGTGTGTGTGTGTGTGTGTGTGTTAGTAGAAATATTTTGTTAATGAGTTTAGTTGTTGATGTGATTAGTCTGATAAGATAATCTATATGGGTTTTTGGTTAAAAAATGATCGTTATGGATTTTTTGTGTTTTATATTTGTGTGTGTGTGTGTGTGTGTGTGTGTGTATTTTAGTAGAAAGATTTAGTTATGGGTTTAGTTTTTGATCTGTGATTGATCTGATAAGATAAGCTATATGTGTATTAGCTGAAAAAACGATCTTTGTGGATTTTTTTTTCTTTTTTCTTTTTATGTGTGTGTGTCTGTGTGTTTTAGTAGAAAGATTGTGTAATGGGTTTAGTTTTTGATCTGTGATTGATCTGATAAGATTAGCTATATGGGTGTTGGCTAAAAAAGTGATCTTTATAAAAAAAAAAATTGTGATTATTTCAGCTTGATGGGTATTTGATTAGAGCTGGTAGTGTTGTAATTGAAAATTCTGATTAAATTATATTTGGGTTCAGCTCAGAATTCAAAAATTGTTTGATATGTTTTTATCTCGTGGATCTGATGTGTTTTCATAGTTTCTTGATCTACTGAGTACTGACTTTGTTAGAATTCGATGATTTTCTTATCTTCGTGGATTATGGAGTTCTGTTCTTTGATCTAATCCATGTTTAGAATCTTTTGCATTTGGATTTTCTTTTTCTCTTAACTTGGCTGCTGCGTATTGGAGGAATATATGAATAAGAATGGACTCTCGTTAACTCAATCGGACCAATAAAAGATCGTTGCTTTTTGAAAAAAATATATCTAGCTGATGATAATTGGCAGCAGCAGACTGATGCCAAGTGCACTAAGCTCTCGCTATGTACGGGGTCCGGGAAGGGTCTATTGTACGCAGCCTTACCAAGCATTTCTGGAAGAGGCTGTTTCCACGACTCGAATCCGTGACCTCCTGGTCACATGGCAACAACCGACTGATGCAATGACATTAAATTCCATAAATGAACCTAGTAAACATTTGGCATTATAGCTTCTGTGTGTCTTGATTGATCAATAGAGAACAATGTAGATTTATTGTGATGGTCTCTTTTGATTGAATTTGACGATAAGTATTGAACTGTTTTGCTTCAAAATCTTGTGATTGATTAAATATTGTACAAGTTCTAACACAATCTGAGGATTTCTGATTATGGTATAGGCTAATGCAGCGTCTGGAATGGCTGTGCACGATGACTGCAAGTTAAGGTTCTTGGAGCTGAAAGCCAAAAGGACTCACCGCTTTATCGTTTTTAAGATAGAAGAGAAACAAAAGCAGGTTGTGGTTGAAAAGGTTGGTGAGCCAACCGAAAGCTATGAGGATTTCGCTGCAAGTCTTCCTGATAATGAATGTAGATATGCTGTCTACGATTTTGACTTTGTCACTGCCGAGAATTGCCAGAAAAGCAGGATCTTTTTCATTGCATGGTATTTTTGATGTTCATAAACATTTTAAGCTACAACAACAACATACCTAGTGTAATCCCACATTGTGAGGTTTGAGGAGGGTAAAGTGTACGCAGACCTTACCCCTACCTTGTGGAAGTAGCGAGGCTCTTTCCGAAAGACCCTCCGGTCAAGAAAAACAATTCATAAGCATTTTAAACTAAATTGTTATATTGCCTTGTTGTCTCAATGTGGTTTTTTTCTCTTCAATTCAAGGTCCCCTGACACGTCGAGGGTGAGAAGCAAGATGATCTACGCCAGTTCAAAGGACAGATTCAAGAGAGAGCTCGACGGAATTCAGGTCGAGTTGCAAGCAACCGACCCAACTGAAATGGGACTTGATGTTATTAAGAGCCGCGCCAACTAGATATCGATGGATAGGTATCAGATGGACCTTATAAGTGAGAAAACTCCTAATGCAATCATCTTTACTTATTGGAAATATTTATAGTGTGACAGATACTTGGCAAGAGATGATTGATATTGGTTGCCAAGTGCTACAGTTATATGTACTATTTAATGAACAAGTTTTATGATGTTTGGTATATGATGTAATTTGTTACTTGAGAATTTATTCTTCTGAGTGTTTCACTGGTAGCATGATTTACAAGCTAATATGTATCCATTTCTAAGGGATAGGATACAGTTAGATTGCTTTTCAATATCTGATTTGACACTTAGCCCTATGATTCTTGTTTTGGAATGGACAAAGCAAGCTGATTGCTGTTCTAATTGGCAGTTGCATAGTTGTAACTTAATTGAAGTTGAGAAGCTGTCAAGAATAAGCTGTGAGAATTTTAGTGTTTCCTAATAAGAGAATTGATCTTATTTCTCAGCACAATGAGGAGTGCTTGATCACTCTTTTATTCAATAGGCTATTCTAATGCCTTGCTATGTTGTGCAAACACTTTGTCAAGTTATTTTTTTAATCTAGTAAATATAATATTTGTTTACCTCGAAAAATGTGAGTAACAAGTAAAGGTGAATTATAGTTTTAAAGATATGTGATTTATTCCAATACTAGTAAATATACAAGCAATATTAGGTTTAAACAAGAAGAATTGATGAACCAAACCAGTGTTCTTAGAGCAACGGGGATCTCGAACTCGATTATCTCGGGGGCTTCGAGGTGAGTTAAGAGCAAATAAAGTAAGACAATAAAGCTGAAGAACAATTGTGGAGCACGAGAAAAGCAAAGTAGAATGTTCTATTGCAATGAATAATGTGTTCTTTACAAATGATTGGGGGCCCCTTTATATAAGAGGAGAAAATCCCAATATAGTGGTAAAGAATTCTATTGGTACAGGTGTATAACAACCTAGTACGGACCTGTACCGACTCGTACAAATCTTATCCTTTAATTTATGCCTGATCCACGTGTCCTTGAAAAATTCCCGTTCTTTCTTGAGTGTCATCGAAATTGTACTGCCCTCGATGTAGGTCTTGTCAGGCCTTCAATTTGCTCCCTTGAGGTGTGTGCTTCATAGTCAGATCCGACCCCCACTTCGAGTCGCCCGGACTCGAACTTATAGCCAATTTAAGACTTCGAATTCGGGCCCCTTGATTTTGACCGTATACAGATAGTCCCCGCGTTATAAGAAACGATCTGATTCTCGCTCCTTCGATGTCCCAATCACGACGTCAGTCTAGTGAGGTCGGCGGTCCGTGTGCCTGAATAGTCGTGCAAAAGTTATGCCTACACATTTTTTGAAAAACCTTTAATGAAAGACGGTTATTGGTCATCCATTTAGCTTCTCCAGCACGCTTAGACAGCCTCTATAAATACTTCAATCCTTCACTCTTCAAACTTGTACTTTTTCAATATCATCACATCCTCTCTGCACTTATTCCTTCCTTGTGCCTATTTCTTAACCAGCTCCTTCTCCTTCTTCTGAATTTTCACAACAAAATGGCAAAAACTTCTAAGACAGTTCCACAAAAACTTCTAAGGCCTCTTCGTCTTCATCCCCGTCGAAGAATAAAACGGTGGTACCCCCAGTATTGAGGAGTGCACCCTCGGGCTTTGTGATACGTCTTCTGATTCAAGGTTGACAAGCCTGCTTCGGTTCCAGGACGATGTGAACCCATGTCTCGGTACATTAGCTTAATAACTGAACTTAAACAAGTGAAGGCAGATTGTCGTTGGGGGATGAAGTGCACGTGGAGATCCTTTCACCCGATGAGGATATCACCACTCACAAAGCGGGATTCCTAAGCGTATACACATACCCATTTACCTTAGGTCCCATAGATCCTTCTTTGCCCTTTCCAGACCCAATGATCCTTGATTTCTGTCGACAATACCAAGNGGGGGGGGGGGGATGAAGTGCACGTGCTGATCCTTTCACCCGATGAGGATATTACCACTCACAAAGCGGGGTTCCTAAGCGTGTACACATACCCATTTACCTTAGGTCCCGTAGATCTTTCTTTGCCCTTTCCCGACCTAGTGATCCTCGATTTCTGTCGGCAATACCAAGTGACAATCGGCCAAATTTATCCCTCCTTCTGGCGGATTGTTCACCTAATTAGGTACTTTTCAAGCAAAGTCGAAGGGATACCTTTTACCCTCGACCATCTAATCAGGTTATTCAGCCCTCGTCTCTATCGAGGTGGTCTGATAAAATTGCAACGTCCATCTCCAAAGTCTTTCTTCGCTAGCATCGATGAGGATAAGGACTGAGGGTGGATGAGTCGCTTTGTTCGAGTCAGGACCTCCGATCTGATTCCTGCTGAAAAGATGTCGTTCCCCGAGGAATAGAATATGAAGCATATGTACAGACCTACCGAGCATTCTTCATTACTTAGACCTTTTTCCCTTTTATTTGAACTAACTCCCTTTTGATGATGCAGCCGTTGAATGGTATCCACGTGCGGTTGTGGACCTCCCGGGCTGGGTTCGGTAACTAGCTTCCACTTTTACATATGCTGAGCGCGTCTGGCGCGATTTTGCCAAAGGCCGATGGGAGGCCAAAAACTACGGTGATTCCTTATTATTTGCATACTCAAATCCCTTAGTGAAATACTCCTTAGCAATACACTTAACTTTGCGCTTGTGCAGGCCTCAGAGATGTTGTTTCGATGAGGCCGCCCCCAGCTGGCGAGGGAGAGACCAAAAAACCTGCCAAGGACAAGAAAAAAAGAAAGGGTCACCGGCGGAGTCCCCGAAACCGAAAAAGGCCAGGCTTCGAAAATCTAGAGCCGATATAGTGGCCTTGACTACGGAAGTTGTTGCACGTTTTCGTGCAGAGGACGAAGAGAGAGATGAGGCTGAGGACGAAGATGTTCGCCCGTTAATAACTCGGAGAGGAGGAGGCATCGATCCTTCAAAGGTTGCTGAGCCGGAGGCCACTGAAGCGGTTCAACCTCAAGCCGAGAGAGTTCCTGGGGGGAGCTCGAGCAAGGCTCTCGAACCGACTAGTGGCGAGGAAGCGCCCCGTCTTGAAGGGCACATGGTCGATGAACTCAGAGAACCCAATCTTGAGGTTCCTCTAAGGCGGGAGAAGGCCCAGATAGATCCACTCGGAGTGGTTGATGTGGATGACTCTTTGCCAGGCCCGTCATTTTCTGAGGGGAAAATACGGGATGCCTAAGATATGAAGACTTCTGATGTGGGAGCATCTCATGGAGAGAATGACATCTTCGACCAATACCTTGCCGGGATCGAAGAGGGCCCCGATCTTGACGCCTCGTTCATCCTCGAAGAGGCTGAGAAGCTTCGAAAGCAAGTAAATTTTGACTTAACAACTACATTCAGAGTTTGATTCTTGCTTTTCTGACCTCCTTCTTTTGTGTTTAGTCTGTGATGCTCTTCGATCAGGCTTTTTCCAAGTCTCGAGCTGAGCTTGCCCGATGTAAAAATGAGCTTAGGAAGCTTATGTCATAGATGAACAGACTCAAGGTTCTCTATACCAAAAGAGAGGGGGAGTGTAACGACCCGAACCGTCGTTTCCTGTATTTTCGTCCCATATTCCCCGTTAAATGCTTATTCATGTTT